GTCAAGTACCAACAATATCAGAACTTTTAAAATTAAACTATTGACAATTTTTGTAATTAATAAAGGGAGGTTTACTAAAACAAAAATGGTTTATTTCCAACATGACGCTAATTTTTCATGATTACTCAAACAATTTTGAAATATTTTTTATATCCATTTTACCCTATTTTTTTTTAAGACAAAAAAAAATATTTACGAAACTGCCAATGAAGCAGCGAATAAGTCTACCATTCATGTAATGGTAGATTTATTTGCGATTGGTAGATTTATTAAGTGGTTGGTAGACTTATTGATGGTTAGAAATCGTAGAATTATTTATAGAACTGGTAGATTTATAATATATGGTAGACTTATTTGTAGTAGTGGTAGAGTTAATTCTGTGATCGYWAGACTTATTTCTAGWAGTGGTAGAGTTAATTTTGTGACCYGTAGAMTAYTTGATGGTTCACGCAATCGTAGACTTATTTATAGTAGTGGTAGATTTATTTTGGAGTGATAGACTTATTAGCAGTAGTGGTAGAGTTAATTTTGTGATCGGTAGACTTATTGATGGTTCGCGCAATCGTAMARMTATTTATAGTAGTGGTAGATTTAMTTTTGAGTGATAGACTTATTAGTAGTAGTGGTAGAGTTAATTTTGTGATCGGTAGACTTATTGATGGTTCGCGCAGTCGTAGATTTATTTTTCACTGATAGACTTATTAGTAGTAGTGGTAGAATTAATTTTGTGATCGGTAGACTTATTAATGGTTCGCGCAATGGTAGACTTATTTATAGTAGTGGTAGATTTATAAAATATGGTAGACTTATTTGTAGTGGTGGTAGAGTTAATTTTATGATCGGTAGACTTATTGATGGTTCGCGCAATCATAGACTTATTTACAGTAGTAGTGGTAGATTTATTTTTGAGTGATAGACTTATTAGTAGTTGTGGTAGAGRRATTTTGTGATCGGTAGACTTATTGATGGTTCGKGSAATCGTAGACTTATTTATACTAGTGGTAGAGTTATAATATGTGGTAGATTTATTTTTTGTAGTGGTAGATTTATTCAATCTTTTCACGTCTTTACTAAACAACCTTTAGTTGGTAGATTTATTTATAGTTGTGGTAGATTTATTTATAGTAGTGATAGGTTTATAATATGTGGTAGATATATTTATACTCGTGGTAGTGGTAGATTTATAATATGTAGACATATTTGTAGTCGTGGTAGATTTTTTATAAATATGTAGTAGACTTATTTATAGTAGTGGTAGAGTC